GGGAGAGGGAGAAGCAGGCTCCCCGCAGAGCAGGGAGCCCGATGCGGGACTCGATCCCAGGACCGTGGGATCATGACCTGAGCTGAAGGCAGTCGCTTAACCAACTGAGCCACCCAGGCGCCCGAGTGGCATAATCTTTCTGTGACTCGGTTTGCTCATCCATAAAATGGGGGTATCAGTGTGTATCTTGTAACGACTTCTTGCCCAGTATATAGGAAGCACTTAGATGGCAGACAGTTTTATTTTGTAGGCATAGTTAATCCTTGCTGCCACCTTATATTTGTTTTAATTATGTAAACATTTTCTATTGTGATTGCCATTCTCACCTGCACTCCTGCTTCAACCAATCAAGGATTTCACTAAGAATAAATACTGTATTCTCACTTCCTACCTGATATCCCCTGGATAATCTGTCCCTTGTTTTCCTGTCCAGCCTTATCTCCAGCTACTTTCTCCCTTGCTTACAAAGGTGTGACAAAAATACCTTTCTATCATGAACTTTTTACTTATAAAATTCTATGATTTAAAAAGTAGCTTTACCCTTAAAAAAGTTAGTCATTCATTAAATATTTAATGTAGGGTTAGGAACATGGACAAAATTTATAGCTCTAAAATATTTGGCGTTATACCTGTAATGTCAAGGAAAATTGCAACAATTGTTTCTCAACAGGTGATAGATTTCATTTGTTTTGCTTTCTAAACAGCCTAGCTAACATTGAATTAGTTACATCATATCTTATTTAGGGATGGTTTCAATGATCTTAACATATTCAGCTTTAATCACTAAGTGATGAGAAGCATGCAGCTGTGACACAGAATCATGAAAGTCCGTGGCAGGACTTGGGCCTTGGCCTGCATCATTGCCCCACGTCATTGACCAATGTGTTCTTATTTTAAGTGTAGGCTAAGCTCATGCAATAACTTTGTCCCTAGAATCTCTGAAGATCAAAACCTTTGATTATAAACTTTGACTCATCTTGTAATACCAAATGTCTTGTCAGTGAAAGCTTTTGCTTTATGAAAGACACAGGGAATTGGGCGCCTGGGTGGCTCAGTTGGTTAAGCGACTGCCTTCAGCTCGGGTCATGATCCTGGAGTCCTGGGATCGAGTCCCGCATCGGGCTTCCTGCTCAGCAGGGAGTCTGCTTCTCCCTCTGACCCTCCTCCCTCTCCTGCTGTCTGTCTCTCATTCCCTCTCTCAAATAAATAAATAAAATCTTAAAAAAAAAAAAAAAAAAAGAAAGACACAGGGAAGTGGCTGCAATATTTAGTTGAGATATTCATTGGTCGTTAATCCCAGAATAGAGAATGCACATGGGGTATTGGGAAATTCTCATAAAACACGACAATGGCTTTGGTATTTTCTAAGCAGATAGCGGCATAGTGTAGTGTGTATTTCCAAAGCGTGTAGGTGTATAGTGGTTTCTAGTGCTACGGAACCAGTAATTATACTGTTGATGCAGTGTCCTTTCTCTCATTAGAGTTACATTATTGTAAAATTCTGGGAATCATACATGTAGAAGAATGAAATTCAGCTTTCCTCATCTCTACTTGGGTAATTTTGCTTATTTGATCCTGGGTGGTGTGGATTTGTGGAAGAAGCAAGTAGAGATTTATGGCATAATCTCTTCATCACAAGTAACAAGTAAACTTTCTTTGGTCCATAATTCATATCCTATGTAAGATGGATTAAAGGTAAAAATGTGATAGGGGTGCCTGGGTGGCTCAGTTGGTTAAGCATCTGACTCTTGATTTCGGCTCAGGTCATGATCTCAGGGTCGTGAGATCGATCCTCACGTCAGGCTCTGTGCTGGGCATGGAGCCTGCTTAAGATTCTCTCTCTCCCTCTGCCCCTCCCCCACCACTTGCAACTACTCTTTCCCTCTCTTCTCTCTCTCTCTAAAAAATACACACACACACACATATATGATAAATACAGTCATGAAAGTACTAGAAGGAAACAAAGATAAATGTTTTGGAGTTAATATTGGAGAAAATCTTTCTAAAGGTAAAAACTAAAGAGGAAAAATTTATGTTCTAAAACTTTCATATATATATATATATATTCAATCCTAAGAGTAAAAGTAAATGATAAACTGGGAAAAACATACGCAATACATGACAGAGAGCTTACAGCATTATTATATAAATAAATCTTACAAATTGATAGAATAACCTAATAGAAAAAAATGTGCCACTTCAATGGGGCCAAACTTTTTGGAGAATATTTCTGACAATGTGAACCAAAAACCTTGTATGAAAGGACATATCCTTGATATGGTATTACCTTATAGAACATTATTTTAAAGCAATAATTAGAAAGTGTACAAAGATATTTATATAAAGGATGATGGTGTCAGTACTATTTATAGTTGTAAGAAACTAAGAGTTACCTGACAGTCTATAGATAAGGGATTATAGTGTTTTCATATTGTAGAAGAGTATGTGGTTGTTAAAAATGAGGTTATCTATTTGTCAGCATGAAAATGTGTATGTATGTCTGCGTGTGTGTGCACGCCCGAAATTCTGGAGAAGAGACTATATTTGACCTTTATTCCCTTCATATTTTTGCTGTGTCTTCAAATAAGTTGAAAAGGAAGGAAATCGATTACTTTTACAATCAGAATATAAAATAAAGCTATTAACATGGGAATCAATTAAAAAATATTATCTTTTTTGGTGAGACAGTTGAAGAATTATTTTATGTATTCTGTACATATGAAGCAGACATATGATTGAGCTTTTATTTTCAAAATTTTGCAGCCACTAACCTTGGCTTTTTTAGAACAGCATTGCATTAAAATTCAGTTACTTTATATCTACCTACCCATTGATAATAAGAATCAAAGTTACTAGATTTATTGATCTCTTGGAATGTGGTGTCTCCAGGCTATGAGCACCATCTGCCTTCAGCAACCAAGTTGGTTGTATTCAGGAGATCTTGTGACAGGTGAGTCAGAACTTGCAAGAGAAAGGGATAAATGTAAGTTAAATACATGGATGCTGGTAAAATAATATCCTAAAGCCTGTAACTGCCTCAAAATGCCATTGCTTTTACTAAAAGTTGGGTAAAAAAATTAAAATACCCATTCTTTTTTCCATAGGTCTTTTATCTTTTGGAGTAAAAGAATCCGCTTGGGTGAATAAAATCTTCACAGCTATTAATATCTTGGTCCTTCTCTTCGTTATGGTTGCTGGGTTTGTGAAAGGAAATGTGGCAAACTGGAAGATTAGTGAAGAGTTTCTCAAAAATATATCAGCGAGTGCCAGGTATAATATTTGGGCTTTTCCCTTCTTATTTTGAATGTGTTTTTGTCTTTGTTTTTAATTTGCCTGCTCTTGTCTTACATTTTCCTCTATAACAGTGCTTCTCAATTTTTTTTTTTTTTTTTTTTTGCTGTGGAGACATTTCTGAGGGTCTGGTCTATTCCAAGACTCTTCTTCCAGTCTCCCCCCCAAACATAAATACATAAGTGTGCTCACTGTTGAGCAGCTATCTGAAGCCAAGCAGTGGCTTGTTCTTGGCTTCAAGCTGTGCAGGAGATATAGGAGAAGAGAGAAGTGAGATCCTAACCATTGGAAGGATGGCTCTTCCCCCTCCAAAGCTTTGCCACCCTTGCAAAACAATGGATCTCTTCGAGTCATGCATCCCTTAGTTCTTCCTTTGGGAGGACCCTTTGGTTTCATTGCATTCTTTCAGCCTCTTAGTAATTTTCAGGCCTTGATTTTTGGAGAACGTCATTGGTTGCATAAGCAGAATTGTCCCTGCATTTTGCTTTTAACCTGGTAGTCTCAAAAATTAAATTAGTAATAATTATATATAAAAGGTTTCATCATAAGATTTATATTAATATTCTGATGTGCAAATAAAATAAGTTTACAGAAATGTCTGTTACGTGAAGTATCACTGCATGTTTTTCTTTACATACGTTGTTTGAAGCCATTCTTTTGAAGCAAAAAATTAGGAACTTCTGGTTTTATACAATTTTTAACATGTAATAAAATATCCAACTTCAATATTATTAATCAAGCCTAGAGAATTCGATTTCATCTTTTCAAATGTCTTATTTGTAAAATTTTTAAATGTGCAGCCTGCCCAACTGTCCATGAGAAGAGGTTTTATGTCTTTATTTCAGAGCAGGGCCCATATATGGTGTCTCTGCTCTCACAGTCCTGCCTGGCTGTGAGTTCTAGCCAGAGTGGAAATGGGCCTTGTGCTTATGCTCTTACTGATCAGCCTCCAGTTGAGTGTTCACAACCCAAGAGGGTGCCATTGTTGGGAACATCACTATACTCCCTAAGACAGGGTAAGAAAAATCAGGATTTCCATTTAATTTTATATTGGTTAGCTTCAAAGAGCTGGTGAACACAATAGCCTTCCAAGAAATGGTTTTCTGTGAATATGACTTTGCATTATGCTTGCTCTCTTCCTTAGAGATCTGCCTTCTGAAAATGGAACGAGTATCTATGGGGCTGGTGGCTTTATGCCTTATGGCTTTGCGGGAACTTTGGCTGGGGCTGCCACCTGCTTTTATGCCTTTGTGGGATTTGACTGCATTGCAACAACTGGTAAGGGAAGAATCTTGGGTCTATGTGGAAGGAAAGGTGTTCCTTGTTCTACAGGAGTACCCATTGGTGGCAGCAGAGGGTCAAGGAAAGAGTGGGATTTGGGGTACTATGGGCTGGTTCCAGCCCCAGCCGTGACACCTTCTGTATATGATAAAAAGAAACTTCGTGAAACTCTCTGAGCCTTGGTTTCCATTAATTGGTAAAGTGGGGAGAACCAGGACCTACCCCTCATGCTCATGGTATGAAGGTTACTTAAGATACGATACACATAAAAGATTCTTTGCAAGCTGTCAAGTATTTTATAAATGTTAGTCGTAATTACTGTCCTTAACCTTCAGTCTGGAAGTAATCTCCAGTACTATCACAATGAGTAACAAATGATGATCACGCTTGTAAATTGTCTCTTCTTTAGTACGACAAAATAAACTGTGGCATTTCTTTTCTCTTTATCCTGTACAACAAAGTAATCGTGCCAGAATCATTCTCTAAATGCTTCTTCTGGGTTCATATTACTGTGTGGCCTTGCAGTTGGCCATTTGGGGACACTTCAAGTGCCAAATCTTACTAGATTCAAGGACTATTTTTGTGTTGAAGCCAGAGTTTAATATAAATTCATGCACTGGGTAAGAAAAGTTTTATTTTCGTATTTATGGAAGCATTCCTATTTAAGGGTCCACAGAATGCTATGACAGTCATTAATTTCTGTGGATGAATCCTTTTCCGAATAGATTAAGACTGCCATACTATCCTGAAATATTTACTAGCACAGGTATAGCTAGCATGTCTTTTCTTTCTAGAAGTGGGAAACTGACCTGCATGATCTCTTGCTTTCTCTTTTTGCCTCTAGAAATTGGAATTTTGTATAATAGCATAGTACTCTCAAGAAGAGAGAAAATTTCATGTAGAATACATGGAGCAAGCTAAGAAACCAGAAGGCACAAGAGCAGAGTGAAATGACTATGAAGGAAAAGAAGAATCCATGTTGTATCTATTAATGGTTCATTAAAGATGCAAATCTTTTGTTTATATCTCCTTAGGTGAAGAAGTCCGGAATCCTCAGAAAGCTATTCCTATTGGAATCGTGACTTCTTTGCTTGTTTGCTTTATGGCCTACTTTGGAGTCTCTGCAGCTTTAACACTTATGATGCCATACTACCTCCTGGATGAGAAAAGCCCGCTTCCGGTAGCATTCGAGTATGTTGGATGGGGTCCCGCCAAATACGTTGTTGCCGCGGGTTCTCTCTGTGCTTTGTCAACAAGGTACATCGATCTCATTGCCTCTGACACTGGGACTGTGGGCAATACCGCCAAGTAGTCCGTGTTTAAAGAATTGCTTTTATAGGTTTTAAAAGTAATCTTTGTATAAGGAATGTATTATGCAACTGTGTCTTCTCTGAATAGTTTGACCAGAATTGCCACATACAAATCTTAAGTGATAAGAACTTTTTCACCCATCAGTTAGAAGTCAGTTTTTCAAGGTAATGACGGTCCAAGCTTCAGTAGAAATGTATATGACATTGGTACACACGAACACATACACGTACATGTATGTCACGCATATTTATATATGTATGTATTATAAAACGGTAGGATGCTTACACTAGCTTGTGTCCGGGCCGGCTGTGGAATTACTTAAAGTGCTACAGACAGCCAAGACCTTAGGTGCAGACTTGACATTTTCTGCTGCCTTTTAAACTAGTATCGTGTCTATGTGACTGGGGGCTATATGGTGTGACATTGTTCAGTATAATGTCTTTTTATTGTGAAATACTGAGACTTTTTCTCTTGGTACTCATCAGAGTGAATTTGGTCTAGAAATAGAAATTGCTGTTCTGAAATTAATAGTGGAAGTTCATATGATATCTATGTGGAAAGCAAAGAGTAGTTGCAGCTCACGTACGCAGATTTGCAGTAGCGACTTGTTTTAATACTTGAGAATTCATTTCTCAGGTTCCCTGAGCTACTCACATTTCAAATTAACATGGGACCATAAGATATTTCGTTCTAGTTTATACCATGGTATCCCGTAGGACATTCTTACAAAGAGAAAGTTAATCTCTTTGCCTAATTGCTAATTTTTTAAAGGGAAAATAATTTTTTGAAAGTCTAAAGTTGGAAAAAGCAATCTTTTTATAGAATTCATCAGCCTAGCTTCTTTATTTTCCATTCAAGATAATATTAAGCAGCAATTAGAAATTTACCCCCATTGGTTTCTCAGCCATCTGCTCTTCTGAGGTTTGAGGTTTATTCTGAATAATTTCAAGTACTTTCAAGAATCTGAACTATGAAGACATCATGCCATCATGGTCTTAAGAAGATAGAAGGACAAAGATTTATTCAGGGCCAAGCTCAACCCAGCTTTATCAAAAGATAAAGAAAATGAATTTTTAAAATAAAATATTTTACGTATTTTCTCTTAATGGTTATTTTTTATAACTAAGTCATGTATGGAATGGTGCAGCCATCTCGAACACACGAGAAATTCGAAACATCTAAAGCAAAGGGCGTTTTCTTAAATTTCACTGTTCCTGACTTTTAATCGTGGCTACTTCTATGTACTAAATTTACAGTGAGTTGTTGTTTTTTTTTCACCCTTTCTCTCTTGATTATCTTATGCTGCTGGGTATTATTACTGATTTGATGAAATATCAGGCTATATGAGGAAAAATAATGATAAAATAAATAGAAGAAGTTTGTAATTATCGAATAAATGAAGTGACTATACCATGCAATTAAATAACCTAATCCCGTCTTTAATTTCATAGCAGTTTAGGAATTTTAATTTCTGAGTTATGGCCACTAAAAATGCCTCAATGAGACGATTGGGTTTGGTTTTCTTAAGTCTTAATTACTTAGTTTTAATTCAGTAATAATTTGTTGGCATGCATAAATTACTCGCAGTATTGCTCTTAGTCTGGTAAGTGTGCTGGGCAAAATGTCTGCAATAGAATAATAAGTAGCACAATGGTAAATATTGGCAAATATTTTTAAATGCCCAATCATGACACGTTTTAAAAATAACAAGACTTTGTAATCAGAGCTGTGACGCTGAGTTTTATCCAAATACTTAATTTCTGTTCTGAGATGTAATCTTGCATGAATGTGTTTGCCATACTGCATGTGTTTGCTTTTTATTCAGTCTTCTTGGATCCATTTTCCCAATGCCTCGTGTAATCTATGCTATGGCGGAGGATGGGTTGCTTTTCAAATGTCTAGCTCAAATCAATTCCAAAACGAAGACACCAATAATTGCTACTTTATCATCGGGTGCAGTGGCAGGTGAGAGTTGACTTTTCTTAAGAAAAGGGGGATCTTTTCTCCATCAAGGATTCTGAAGAGTAATGCAAAGTTAGGCAGTTTTCTGTCTTTATTTACATAAAGGTCAATAACTTGTTTGTTGAATGTTTTCCTATTTTGAATTATTTTGGCATAGGTTCTGCATTTTAGTGTGTCCGGTCTTTACCTGTGTATACCTGTCTCGAATAATGCTTGCAATAACTCATGTATGGATTATGAATTTTTCTGTTCTAGTCTTCTGGGCTCTATGTTTCCTTTACCCCGAATTCTATTTGCCATGGCCCGGGACGGTTTACTGTTTAGATTTCTTGGCAGAGTGAGTAAGAGGCAGTCACCAGTTGCTGCCACGTTGACAGCAGGGGTCATTTCTGGTAAGCTTTACAAACACAGGAGTCTTCAACATTGGCCTTGAACGTTTTATGCGCATGCATGGACTTATAAAGAGGGTCTGCTTGCTGTGCATGTAAGTTAAGAAAAAGAATCACTGATAAATGAGGTTATGAGAATTGGGATCTGGTAACTGTGGTGGTGGTGGTCTACTGAAATTCATTCTTAACTGACCCGTGGGGACTTTTGTTACTATTTTGTTATTTTAACCTTTTGGGTTTCTAACAAATGTGCAGAGGGTTGTAATGGTTCTTCACTGTATTTTTACTCATTTTTAGTTAAGTATAAGAAATGTCAGGGTAACTGATACTTGGCTGTCGTAATCACTGTCCTTGGTGTGGGGTTATCTAGATGCACATCCGGGACCACCGCGGTTCTCTAAGACTTACTAACAACTATTTCCTGTTAGACCCCATTAGGAATCTATTTTTGCTTTCAACAGTTTTGATACTTAACTCATGTTAAAAAAAAAAAGAAAACTCCCAGAGGCCCACCTTTGGGGATGTCAGAACGTCTTTGTAAAATGCCGTTGGCCAGATTCTTATTCCATGCAGAAATTTTCAAGAGATTCTACAGACCGAGAGAATGGCCGTAAAGGTCCTGTTAGAGAAAGCAAGAGAGAGACTTCATCAAGCTTTTTAAAGCTATTTTGGTAGTAGAAATTCAATCCAACACTGATAACTTGGTTGAGACTCTGAATTTGGGGGAAATTATAGAATGATAATGCTTAATTATGTGTGAAATGGTATTTTTTCAGAGTCGGAAAGTATTTGCCTCAGCAACTTCACTTTGTCAATGTTTTCTAATAAATCTGGCACTTTATTAGACATACATTAGAAGGCCAAGTCCCTTATTTTCTTAGTGCTTAGATTTCTGCCCCCATGAAATGAAGGTTGCACTAGATGATCTAAAGCCCATTTTATTATTAAACAGTGGATTATGCTATTAAAAAGAGTTTATAAATCCTGACAAAGGATCACATGTTTTATTTATTCCATAAAAACGTTTATTTTTTTTTCCCAGTGAAATCTTGCCCGGTAATACTCTATTTTGTATTCAGAGCTTTAAAAAATGTATCCTTCTTTCTTCAGGAAGAATTTGATTTGGCAGCCTAATAATATTGACATTAATAACTAACAGAAGATAATTGTAGCAGAAGGCTTTTTTTTTTTAACATTCTGAAATACTCTATTTTTGTTATTTGTACTCCCTCACCTTACTTTGCTCGTTTTTAGCTTAGATCAGAGAGCTTGTCTGGATAATTAATCATTTTCTTCTGTCTTGGCATAGGTTCTGCATTTTAGTGTGTCCGGTCTTTACCTGTGTATACCTGTCTAGAATAATGCTTGCAATAACTCACGTGTGGATTATGAACTTATTTTGCTACTTGTGGTTCTTACAAAACATATTGTAATTTTAATCTAATGTATAAGTATATTAGCAACAGAAGGTTTTCAAAGTAAGGCATGAGATGTATTTAAAGAAACTGTGTGATATTGTAGAAGGAGCATGGGGAAGTAGGGTACAGATAGACTTTACCTGGAACTCTACTGCCCTCATAGTTTTCACCATGCTAAGTTAGCCTGTCTATAAAATGAGGAGCATAATCTTATCAGGTCAGGCTATGTGAAATTGCTGGTCTCAGGGTCAAAACCAGTCAAATTCTGGCCACTGCATTCGGTTAAACCTATATAATTTCCTCTGTCTCAGAGGATTATTGGATCAAAGATAAATTGAGATCACAGAGGCAGCATGTGAATGGAATGTGGTGTTTCTCCTGAGGATGATAGGGGACAACTATGTGGGCAAGTCAAGTCATCACTCTTTGATGTTTCAATGGAGAAAAAATTGCTCAGTGCAAGTTCACTCTTCAAATGGAAAAGTATATTTTGCGTCAGAACATTACTGAGATTTGAGTGTGAGACATCGATTCATCTCTCAAATCTAGTCAGTCTTCTCGGAGTGTGGAGTTTTACCCAATGTAGAATTTTGCCTCTATCAGAAACGTAATTTAACTGGAAATTACTTTGTTTCGTGTGTGGCATAACTCAAAATGCAGATGGAAGTTGAAATGATTATGTAACATCTATAATGAAAGATCTTCTGTTTGAATTTTTTAATCGTTGTTTTAAAAAGACTTAGCCAGTATTTCTGAGCCATGTTTTTCTTTTGAAACATCAAAGGAGAGTATTCTGTCGTAGAATGTTTTCACTTTTTGTCAGGCCAATATTTTTTAAATAATCAAAGTAGAATGTGTTTTATACTTGATAGATGGTTGAGGGTTTTTGAAGTTTTACTAGCAGTTTATATGACCCAAGGGTCATCTTTTTAGCTGTGAGAAATATATTTCCTATAGTTTGTTTGATTTATCATGGATACTGGAACCATAAAAATGCCAGTTGTCCCTGACTTGGAAGTTATCAACTGTATGGAGTTTTGTCATAGGTCTTTTTTTTTTTTTTACCATTCTCTTCTTTTCCCAATAGCTGTGATGGCATTTCTCTTTGACCTGAAGGCACTTGTGGACATGATGTCCATTGGCACTCTTCTGGCCTACTCTCTGGTTGCTGCGTGTGTTCTCATCCTCAGGTGAGTGTCCTCTTTGGTTCTCAAGGGTGTGTGTTGTGTGGGGCCCAGGGAATAAAGAAAATTAGGACTCACCATCCTTGTTTCCAAGGAGCTAGTGGTCTCACAGAGGTGAGAGGCCATGGACAGAAAAACATCAGTATAAAGTATAATAAACGTACTTAGTCCTTAGCCAAGAATTAAATACAATTGATAATTAGTAATAAGTTGGCTTAATCTATATGAACAGCAAGTTCTTATAATGTATGAAAACACTTAAAAATATTATAGTTTTTTTCCCAGTATCTCAGCTGCTAAGATTTTATAATAAAGATTTTACTTGGTGAGGCATACACAGATATATATAAAGGATGTTTATGAAAAGGTAATTTACCAGAGTGAAAAAATTGAACGGAGCCTGAATATCAATAGCAGAATAGTTAAACACATAAGGGTACATTTATTCAGCGGACTCTTTTTCTTAGTTATACTTAATTATGTGGAGAAATGTATCTGATTCAGCAAAGCTGTATGCAGTGTCTGAATTTATTTAAATTATAACATAACTTCACACGAAGAAGTCATTTTGCATCGATATACACATACATGCACTTGCGCTTGGTTGAAATTGTGCCAAAATGTTGGCAGTGATTAACGCTGGGTTTGTAGTATTGTGGGGGGTTTTGATTTTCTTCTGTATGTTTTGTGTATTTTTTTTTTTCTCAGTGAGCCCTATTTCTTCTTTAGACTGAGGACAAATGTTACTTTTAAATTTAAGTAAAGGCTGCTCAGAGGGAAAGAGACCACAGTGAGGGGACTGGGGCAGGTCCTCGGTGGGGCAGAGCCTAGGAGGTGAAGTGGGCCAGTATCCTGACGGAGGCTGGAGAAGAAGAGGATACGTCGAGAAAGGGACATGGCAGGGGCGGAACGGAGTCCGTCAGGGTTACACTGGAGGACTGAGAGAGGAAGTTGAGGGACGTGAGGCCAGAGAGGCAGACTGCCAGAGGCAGCAGATGCCAACCTGAAGACCGGGTGTCATTCTGAGGCTGCTGCTTAGCCAGACTTTCTGTGCTGTTTTCTGGAACTGCAGTTCCTTTGGACACACATATTTCCAAGCTAATCCCCCTGTAGTCCCAGTTGCCTTGGGTGAAAAGGTCCCTCCCTTCTGCATCTTATATGTAACTCTGCAAGTAAATGACTGTAGAGGGAATTCAGGGGTGCTGCAGATATCTCATGGAGCAGGTTTGTGGCCTGGCTCAGCCCACTCTGGGGCGCGAGTCATGAGAAGGGTCAATTCGCTGCCCCAATGGGGACCCTGTCAGGCGTCTCACCTCAAGTGTTCGGTGTTTGCTTCCTTTGGGCCAAGTGTCTGTCTGAGAATAAAGACACAGACTTTTGTTTATTTGGGGCCAGGTACCAGCCCGGCTTATCTTATGAGCAGCCCAAATGCTGTCCTGAGAAAGCAGCTCTGGGGTCATGCGGCATTGCTGCCTCGAAGAGCAAGTCGCAGGTAGCCATGCTGCAGGGGCAAGGCCTCAGCCTGCACATCCTCGTCAGCCCCTCGGCTCTGCCTACACAGCAGTCGTCTTCTCTCGTGAGCTTTCTGGTAGGATTTCTTGGTGAGTCCTCTGCGCTGTGTCCACTAGGAAGGGCCCCGGGTGTGCGTCAGTGGAGCTGGTATGATGTGAGAGAGGACAAAGGTCTTACGTGGCCTTAGCATGTGCTTGCCACTGCCCCAAGCCCTGAAATCTCCACCTAACCGGTCACTAGTTGCTGAGACCATATAGTAGCAGGATACATGGGTCCTGTCATCGAGGAAGAAAGGAAGAAGTTCCCCGAGGTGTGAGTGGCCTCTGTACAGAGCTGGTCCCTCTCAGTGGCTGTTAGGGGGTTCCCTGTGTGCAAGCTTCCGGCCAGGAAGACCTGCAAGGAAGGAGACTGGGAGATAATACAGAACATCGTGTTTGCTCACTCACAGTTACATAATCAGTCATATTTTCAGCAACATTCATTGAGCACCATCAACGTGTCAAGAACTCTGTGGAGCCCTTGGGATAGCAAGAAAGATGGTCCTTGCTGTCATTGGGCTTTGAGGAACGGGATTATCGGTGGCAAGCGAAGGGAAGTAGAGGCTTCTCTAGAGCACAGAGGAGGGACCCTGAGTGCAGACATGATGGTCAGGAATAGGATGGGTGGGTGGTGATATCCCCTTCTGAAAGAGGGCAAAAAGACACAGATCATTGATTATTTGTTTGCGTGAACAGTGTTTACAAGAGCAGAACACGGACAGACTTGCCGTTTCCCATTTGAAAAAAGGAAAATCTCCACCCCTGACATTATCACGTTCAATCCATGCGATATAGTGTGAGAATGTAGCAAAGGAGGAGCCTGATGACATGTAGGAAGGAAAAGCAGGCTGGTAATGCTGAGGGGGGAGGAGGAGACAGTCATGAGTAAGCGAGCGGTGGTTCTTAAATCGGTACAAACAGCCATTTTCTCCCATAATGAAAACGAAGAGTCGTAGTATTTGACAAAGAAGCCATGGGAAGACCTTGATATCTTATCACAAGAGACTGCTCGAGCCAGGGGAATCTGAGTGAAATGTGCCTGCTGATTTTGTGTCACCTGCATATCTCACCTTTGCAGCATTTCTTGTTTTGGGCCTGAGTATCTTGACCACTTACGGAGTCCAAGCGATTGCCCGGCTAGAAGCATGGAGTGTTGCTCTTCTTGTCCTGTTTCTTGTTCTCTGCATTGCCGTTGTGCTCACCATTTGGAGGCAGCCCCAGAATCAGCAAAAAGTAGCCTTCATGGTATGAATAATGAACATTAGAGATCCTCAATATTATCTGGTGTGTTAGTTTTGTAAGTTGTTTTTAAAAAGAAAAAGAGAAAAAGACACTTCTGATGAAGTTAACCAGTAAAGAACAAGAGTGTCGCAGTTCTTTGAGATGTTCTTTTTGTCATAAGGATTCTCCCTACATGGTTTTTCAAAAACTTGAATATGCTCCTATCACGTTATTATCTATAATGGTAAACAAATTTCTTGTCAAGTAATCTATAGTATCAAAGAATAAGTAGAATATTTTATTTTAGAAATTCAGTCCTCTTGCAAGAAGACTATTCCCACCAAAAGCCCTTCTGCTATAATTATCCTGTCAGATTTGAATGAGGAGCAGGTTTGGACTTGAAGAGAGCTTCCTGGAAGGATCCCTCTCAGATGCCATGTGTATCCAGACTTGCAGAGGCATGCCCTGTTGCCATCTGAATGAAACCAGTGAACCCTAATCTAAACCAAACCCTACTGCCAATTGCATCTGGTGATGATACGGATGTTAGCGGGCCGGAGAAATCCCCTGTTGCTTTGGGCTACACTTGAGTAGTATAGACTGTGACGCTCCCTTTAGTAGACTCTACAAGAATGATTTTTTCTTCTGGTTGTCCTTTTTGTAAGAATATAAACTTACTGACACAGTGTGAAAGAATATATGTCAAAATAGTTGTCACCACGTTGAAACAGTCTGAGGAATGTACTTTCCAAATTTGAGTACATTTAAGAAGATATTTTCCTCCCTTAGGTTCCTTTCTTACCATTCTTGCCAGCCTTCAGCATCCTGGTGAACATCTACCTGATGGTCCAGTTGAGCGCAGACACTTGGATAAGATTTAGCATTTGGATGGCACTCGGTAGGTTTTTTAATGTTTTAGCTTTCTGAGCCGTGGTTCTGTCTTCCCAATTTCATGCTCTGTGATTACAGAAATGCATCCCCTCCCCCTTCTTGGAAATAAAGGGTTTTTGCCAGTTTCTTCGTTTCCCAAATTTTAGATCATCTGAGTCCTTACTTCTCCAAATGTTTTCAGATACCTTTTTTTTTTTTAATTAAATTCTCCCAGGAATCCTGTAGAACCCTGTAGATTCTGTTTCTCCAACTTAATGGGTGACAAAAAAAGCCTCCAAAAGTCAAGGGATTGAATTTGTGGATGGCAGTGCAAGACTCTGATTCCAAAGCCAGTTCTTTCCAGTGTCCCAGTGGATTTCTGAAGACATTTTGAATGAGCTAAGAGCAAAAAATTTCTTTTGTTATCTAAATTTCTTATTATTTGAACCTTGGGATTTAGCATTAAATAAGATGAGTGAGCTTATTTATATCTCTACTACATGGTTTTTTATTATGATTCCTTTCCCATGTGAAAATTGAGTTAGAAAATGAGAGTTTACATTTGGTGTAACTAAAGCACTGAGCAGTTGTCTTATTTTTTTTTTTTTAAGATTTTACTTATTTATT